TCTGCTTCTCCCCCTCCCGCTCCCCCCTCTTGTGCTCTTTCTCTCTCTCACTCTCTCTCTCAAATAAATAAATAAAATCTTTAAAAAAAAAAAAAAGATACTTTTCTAAAGGAGATAAGACATTTCTTTCTAGAACTTGTTACCAGCTAGAACTACTAATGAGAGGCAGAGCCTGGACATGAGTTGGGGAGGTGGGAAGCTTCCCTCCTGCGCCAGGAGGGGTAGCTCACTGCTGCTTGGTTCGCGTCCCTACCGGCCCCTGCCCTGACTCCCTGCCCCGGGCCTGGCCAGGCCTGACCCTTTCTCTGGCGGTCTGACCCTCCATCTAACACATTCCCTGCGCTGCCAGCCCCTCTGCCCTTATGCACGTGACCCTCTCGTGTTTCCCTTCGATCCCTGTCGGAAAGCCTCCTCAAGTCAGGGCACAGCTAGCCATCACCCCCATTCCTCCTCCCCCCTCTCAGGAAATTCAGAATCCGTGGAAGGAATCTGAGGCGGAAGAGGATGTTGAATTCAATGACCTTTAAAAAACAGCCTTCAGCACCTCTCCGCCACCTCCACCCCCTCCTCCCCAATTCTGCAGGAAAAATCATAAGGTGACATTTATTGACTATTTAGTATCCGATGGTCACTCTGCTAAGTCCTTTTCATGAATTATCTTCCACTACCTCCTCCTCTCAATATCTCCCAATTCACAGGAAATTGAGGTTCAGGGAAAGAAAAATGACCACCCCAAAGTCACACAGGTGGGGAAAAGCCAAGCTGGACCTGGAATCCAGGTTTGACCACTCTTGAACCACTGCACCAGAAGGCCTCCCACCCCCCGGGGGGGCTGACTGGTAGGGATGGGCTGCAGGATTTGAGAAGGCATGGGGCACGCCGGGCAGGATGGCAGGGTAGGGGCCCCAGAGGCAGGACTGGTGTGGCTGGAATGAAATTCTGAAACCACATTCCCCTCCCAAGGGTGGCCCTTCCTCCCCCCAGGGCCTGGGAAGGGGACACTCCCTCTGGCTCAGGTCTCTCCAACATTCCAGACACACCTCTTGGGAGCTGGGGACAAGGAGGGGTTGGAGACCTCAGATGGAGCTGCCTTCTCCCATCACCACTTCCACCAGAGTCCTGGCTGTGTGGCCCTGCAGTAGCCACCCACCCTCTCTGGGCCAGGTCCCCTCATCTATGAAGTGGCTGGGGAGCACCAGCTTAATCTCTAAAAGCCACATTTCTCCCGCCAGACCCAGGGATCCTCTGGCTGCCATGGGGTTAACTCTGCAGGAGGGCTAAGCTTGGGGCCCGCCTTTCCTTTTATTCCCAGTGAAACTTGAAGAGGATCTGGTAAGGAGGTAGGGAAGGAGAAGGTGAGAAGGGGCACATGATTTCCCGACAGAGCTTCCTGGGCTCAGGTGCGCCGAGCCCCTCGCCTCCCTGGGGACAGTCAGGACACCAGTGTCAGTGGTCCCACCTCAGCCCTGCGGGCAGCAGAGGCGTTAGACTGAAGAACTGAGCAGAGGGGGAGGCGGGGATGAACGTAGCCATGCTCCCTGAGTTCAGATGACTGACTAGAAAACGGTGGGAGGGTGGGGTTGGAGCAAGGATGACTTGCTAGAGGAGACAGTAGAGCAGACCAGGAGGATTTCAGGGAGTGAGGACTAGCAAAGGTTCAAAGGGAGGAAGGCACAGAAGGGCACAGAGGAGTCTGGCGGCAATGGACCATTGTGAGGGGATAGGTAGGGACCATGGGCCAGGTCCTGGGGGCACCGAATGCAAGAGGATTGGGGGTTGTGTCTGGATAGTGGGCAGAGCCATGGAAAGAAGCCCACTTTCAACAGTGGTGTCAGAAAGATCCCTTTGATTGCTGTACAGTCTGGCTGGGGCAAGCCCGGAGCCGGGGAGGCCGCTAAGGGGGCTGTGGCCGAGGTCTGGGTGGAGGTGATAGACCCTAAACGGCGGCAAGCTATAAAAGACTGTACAGGTCCCTCGTCTGACTGGCCTGCTTCGTGAATAGTAGTCCTCCCTTTTGGGCAGCTCTGCCCGAGAAAACGTTTTTCTCTGGGCGAGGTTCAAGCCCGCCTTCCGGGGATGATGGGTAGGTGCAGGGGTCAGGAAGGAGATGCCGCTTATTGTGCAAGAGGATGGAAGCTTGGGGGAAAGTGTGGGGCCACTGAGTTCAAGCTGAGAGGCTTGGTGAAAAGGCCCTCTGACCCATCTGTGGGACTGACCCCTGCCCTGCCTGCCCCCCGGTGGCGCCCAACTACTAGCCCTAGGGTACCCTGGCCAGGGGAGACGCCAGCGGGGCACCCTTGCTGGTATTTGTGGCTGGACACCATGAAGCTCCTCAGCTAGCCCCAGAACAAAAGCAGAGCAAACTGGCAGTTTTAGGAACACATTTTATTATTTTTTTTTATAAAAGGCAAAAGAGTACATTTTTTGAGTGGAGGATTAAAGGACTGAAGACCCTATTTTAAGCAGAGTCTCCCAACCCCCATCCCTAAAACTGTAACATCTGCTGTATTTTAAAAAAAAAAGGCAAGCATGAAACTTACGACCTGGACTTCACCCCACCACCCCTCATGCCTACATTATCACAGAACTACGTTCTCTGTTCTTACTTATATACAACCAGAGCTCCATACCTGGGCTGTGGCCTCCTCCTCCCCGCCCTACCCCCTTGCCCCCACCCTTCTTCCCCCAAAGCCTAGAGAAGCTCCCTACTTAGAAAAAAGGGCACATACACACACATACTCAGAAACACATATATCTGGAACCTTCTCCATATGGAGCCCCCTGAAACATGCAGACTCTTCACACTTTCCTCACTCGCAGATGGGACACACCACAGATGGACCTTCCCCTTCCTCTGGTCTCCCCCCAACAGCTAGAATCCTTTCCACTTGGTCCCTTGCCCTGAGTATCTTGGAAACCACACACGCGCACACATACTCACACGCCCACTGCCCATTTTCCTGTTGGGAGACAAAGGGTATGTTGGCCCTACTCCCTGTCCCACCACAGCTTAAAGACAGTGTCCTAAGGGCCTATTTGGGGAGCGTCCTGGGGAGAATCCCCAAGGGGGCTGTCCACTGGAGTGGGAGTTGACAAGGAGCTTCTCAAGTCTGGGAGGGTCCCGTGAAGGCTTCTAGGCAGCAGCCCCTGCACAGTCTGGGGATGCTCAAGGGAGGGGCGGGGAGGTAGCCCCTGCCCACTCAGATCTGCTCCTTGTGCTTCACATGGGCCAGCTTCACATTCTCCTGCTCAGTGGAGGGTGGAGGCTGCTCCAGGTGGCAGCCGATCATGAGCTGGTACACGAAGACACCCGCAATGGAGCCCAGGAGTGGAGACACGATGGGCACCCACCACCAGTGGCGGCCGGTCCTGGGGACAGACGGAGAGGCGGTTGGGGGCGGGTGGGCAGCAGAGGGGTGTCAGGCTAGGGCAGGCCGGGGGGAGGGGCGCTGCACTCACGTGAAGACTTCAGAGCCCCAGCCGGCAACGGCGGTGAAAAGGCGGGGACCGAAGTCCCGGGCGGGATTGACAGCATAGCCAGAGTTGAAACCCATGGAGGTGCCGATAACCAGGACCACCAGGCCCACGGTGAAGGCCTCCAGGCCGCGGGGAACGGGGTTGTTGTAGGGGTCAACAATGGCCAGCACACACACGATGAGGGAGGCAGTGCCAATGAACTGGGGAGTGGGGAGGACAGGGTGAGGAGCTGCTCCGACCCCGGCCTCTGGTCCCTCCTCTGTCCTCGGGCTCCTACAGTCTTACCGTTTCCCGAGTTCAGCTCTTTCCAGCAGTGGTGCTAGAATGTGAGCATGCAAAAAGGATCCCCTGGGGACCTGGCTAAATATGCCGATGCCCGCCACCATGACTCTGATGTAGGTGTCCCCACACATTGAGAAACCCTGCTACAGACCAGGAGTCCTGTCCGCCAGCCACCCACAAGCAGCTGAGCAGCTTGGTCCTCCTCCCTGTGTTCCCCTCGTGGTTCCCTGGCCCGTACCTGGTCGAAGAATCCATTGACCATGTCCAAGTGTCCAGAGGGGTAGGTGGCAAAGATGCCTGCTGTGCCGTTGGGGCCCGAGACTATGAGCTCATTCTTGGCAAAGTCCCAGATTGCATCTGGTGACAGATCAGACCCAGAGTGGGTGAGGGCAGAAGCCGACCCGCTCTCCAGTCTCAGGCTGGGCCCACCCTCCTGGGGGATCACAGGTGAGTACGTCACTGCTGTACTACTCAGGAGTCTGTGGACGGGCAGGGGTGGGGGGGGGGGGGGGTGGATATCCTGAGACTCTATTGTTGCCCAACTTGTTTCTTTCCCCTTGTGCCCCCCACCTTGGGCCCGTGAGTGAATGAGTGAGTCATGAGCCCGGGGCTTGGGCAGGCCCCAGTTGTCTGTCATCAAAAGGCCTGGTGCCAACAGGTCCCAAGCAGAGGGAGGGAGGTAGTGGAGGATGGCAGGGTGGGGAATGCTCACCATAATACAGCCCAAAAACAATCCCAGCACCCAAGAAGGCTCCCAGCGTCTGAGCCAAGGTGTAGATGGGCAGCTTGATCCAGGGCTCGCGTGCCAAGAAACACATGGCAAAGGTCACAGCAGGGTTCAGGTGGGCCCCTGGGCAGAGGGGGGATGGGACCTCTTAGTCACCGTAGCTTGCTGCAGTGGGAAGGCCAGGATCCCTAACCTCATATTCCCCCTCTCTGGCCCTCGTAAGCACGGGTGCAGAGAAGGGTTTTCTTGTACCAGATGGTGGGTTGGACTATGTAACAGGCCAACCCTGATAATCGGATTCCAAGGTGAGAGTCAAAGGTTCAAAGTATCAAGTTCTTTCTCCATTCTTCTCTCCCAAAGCTCAGAGAAGCTGAGGCCACGGCTATGCCTTGCCCTTGGGAATGTCCCTTGCCACCCCATTCCCCAGTTGGGCGCCTTGTGGGAATGCCATTTGAGGGTAACGACTGAGGGCAGAGCAAGGCCTTACCAGAGACCTGGCCAGCCACAAGGATGCCCAGGGTGACAGCGAAGCCGAAGGCTAGGTTGATGGTGAGGAAACCACCGTGGGTGCCCCGGCTGAGCACCACCTGGGCCACGGAGCCACAGCCAAACATCTGTATCAAGAAACAGAACCAGGCAGGGAGAGTGAGGCCCAGCAACTCTGTGACTCCAGAGGGAAGGGGTGAATCCAGCAACCTCCACCTGCCGTCTTCTGGAGGACAGGGAAGCCCTTGCCAGGGGAATCCAACCCACACCCCTCCTGTGGCAACTGTAGCCCGCAGAATAAGCAGACATGCCCTCTCACCCACAACACCTGAACTTTAATTTAACAGGGCCCTATGGAAGGGCCTGGAAGCAGAGTCTACAACTGGGAGCCCAAACGATGGCTGGACCGTCTTCTCTGATTTTTCTGGAATCTCAGTACGAGTGCGGTATAGGGGAGCAGCATTCACCTAGCACACTTTCTCCAGCAGCCCTTCAGGCCCGGCCCACAAAGTGGGAAGGCTCTCACTCATCCCCCACCTGTACTTGCCTCCTTCCTTGTCCCAAAGAAGAGCTTTGGCGAAGGTGGGGGGTGGGTGGGGGTGGCTCAGGGCACAGAGAAATAGGGAGGAGGCCAGAAGTTAGGCGGAGTCCACTTCTCCTGAATCTGGAACGTCAGAGCCCCTGCCCCGCCCCTGTTCCTGTCCCAGAGCCTCCTCTCTCCATCCACCCTGACCTCTTGGCCCTCAGGGGTCCAGGTTCCCTACTCAGATGTGGAGGTCCTTAAGACAATGATCTCAGTGGTCCCTCTCACTAGCCGCAGCAGGGCACTGGAAGTGGGGAGATTGGTTCTGAGGTTTCTGCCGGTGATGGGGGGATTCAAGAGGACTAAGGTCCCTGATGTGCCCCAAGTATAGAAATCCTGTTCCTCTTATTTAAATGTAAAAATGCTTCTGTACCCTACACAAAGAGCTATTGCCCTGAGCCTCCAGAGTGTTCCCTAAAGCTGTTCACTCCAGGCTCTGCCCTCGGTTTCCTCTTCTACCTCCCCATCACTAAAAGTGTTAGCTCTAGTCAGCGGGCAGCTCCCAAAACTTGTGCTAAGGGCCCTTGTCCATTTGGACGGGTCAGTGTCCTGTTGTACTGGGTCGCTAAGCATTTTGATTATCATCCCTCAGAAGGACTGAGAGAGGGTGGGGAAGCCAGCAGCATTGATGGCAGGGCAAAGGTGTGTAGGCAGGTGAGAGCAAAGATCAGAGACTGTGAGTATGTGGGGGGTGGGGGTAGGCCCATGGGGGTCCGGGGCACTCTGCCCGGCTTGGCAGGCCGTGGCCCCAGCTCTTTTCCTGCCTGAGGCCCAAACCTGGCTTCATCCCAGGAGACCTTGGGGGGAGAAGCTGTCAGAGCCAGTTCCGCCACCTTGGGGCTAATCTTCTTCCTTCCCTTCCTCTCCCCCACTCCCTGCCTTGCTAGGCACCCCAGAGAAAGGGGCCACCCTCCCCCCAAGGCCAGCCGTGATCCTGCCACCATAGGCTCTGGGTCCCCAGGGCACAGAGGTACGCAGGCAAGCCCTCACCCACCCCTCGGGGCTCTCCCAGGCCTAGCCCCTCTTCTCCGGGCCACCCTGGAGAGTCTGCTTTTCACTGACACCAGATGCCTTACACTCACCTGAGCCTGAACACCTTCACAGAAGTTAACACCCTCCTTTTGTGGTTGAGGATAAGCCAAATGATCCTGCGGCTCAGTGCAAGGCCTGACTGACTGCTCCTTTGTGGGAGAGGCTGACTGAGACGGGAGAGGGGTTAGGGAGGCCCTTCTGTGAATGTGGAAGACAACTTCCCCTGTTCTGGCTGCTCGTGGACAGGGGCATGGACCATCAATCAGATAGGGAGTGAGGGACACAAGGCTCTGGGACAGGAGGGTGAAAAGCACCTGCCCCTCTCTTCCCCCCTCTTCCCTTCTTGGCTTGGGGAGAGAAGGGAGGGGGAAGATGGGTAGGGTCACTAGTCTTGTGAGGGGCTGTGGATAAAGTGCCCCACCTGGCTTCTCCCCTGCTGTTCCTGGAAGCCAAAGGTGAGTCTAAGACCTTCTCTCGCCACGGAGCCTGCTCTACCACCACCATCCATTTGGGCCACCCCAGCTCTACCTACTTGCCTCTAGTTGAGCTTCCTAGTCCACAGGGGGCTGGCTGGTCTGCATTACCTATAGCTAGGGCTGGCGCAGGGACGGAATAACCCATTCACCACAATGAAGCAACTGAACTCAGAAGAAAACAGGTGTGACCACATGAGGGGCTGAAAATAAGAGAGTAGGTAGGACAGGAAATGGAGACCGAAAATGGTTGTCAAACCCAAGAAATACAAACAAAGTCACCCAGGAACAACCTAGGGACGAAACTCGTAACCAGGGAGTAAACGGACTGGGGAGTGACCCAGGTAGTGGAAGTGGCCTACTCTGAGAACCCACAAACTAACTCAGAGGTTGAGTTAGAGGCTGGGGAGTAACTCAGAGTGCTTGGGCACAGAGGATGATAGCATCTGTCTGGGTGACTGACGGTGTCTGGGGGCCACTCAGCACAAGACGAGTGACTTAGTGACACCACGTCCTCTGTGCCCCGGGGCCCAGCTGCCTTCCACAGCCTCCTTATCTTCAGGATCTTCCTTTCTTCCAGCTCTGCTGTTTGCACCTGTGTGGCCTCCGCCCTCTGCCCCCACCCGTGGCGAACTGTCCTCACATCACGGGAACTTTTGGACTTTCTGAAGCTTAATTATTCATTAGGGACCAGATATCCAGGACCCAAATAATCTAATAGGGGCCCATTTGCCAAAGCCTCCACTGCCTCCCAGAGCGGGGACTCGGGGCAGCTGGGGAGCTGAGAGCCAGGAGAAGACCCTGGAGGTCTCAGACCGCGGGGGTGACCACTGCCCCCCGCCTGTGGGCTGCGGCCCTGGTGAGAGGGTGACCCATCAGAGCTGTCAGTGGAGTAAGGGCTGCCCTCTGGCACGAGTCAGAGCTGTCAGGGATGGGAGCTAGGGGAAAGACCACCCTGGAATGGGTCAAGGTGGTCTTTGATGATCCCCAGCCAGGAGCAGAGCGGGGAGAGGGGGCGCGCCAGCCTTGAAAAAGAGCCCCTCCAGTGCGAACAGAGGGGCCGCGGAGCGCGGGCGCCTGGAGAGAGAAGGGCTTCTCCGGGTCCCTCCACTCACCACGAGGATGAGGGTCCCCAGGCACTCAGCCAGAGCCTGGCGAAGCAGCAGGTGGCGGATGTGGAGCATCTCGCCGCAGCGGGACACCAGCTCCTTCTGTCGACCCATGGCGGCAGCGGCGGCGCGTCCGAGGCGGGCTGGGGCTGCGAACGCGACGGGGCGGCAGCGGTGGCCCCGAGCGCCGGGTGGCGCCCTTTATAGGAGCCGGAGGCACGCGCCCCGCCCGCCCCGCAGCCCCGCCCGACGTATGGGCGGCCGCCCCGCACCGCTTTGCCTGGGGAGGCCGGTGGGGACGCTGGGCTGGGGGAGGCTGCGCGGGAAGGGAGGGGGCGGCGGCGGTGCGTGTGAGGAGCTTTAGGGGTGACGTTCGCTCCGGGAGGGCACCTAGGGGAGGAGGCGTGTTGGGGGCCGAGGGGATCGCGCGGGTCCGAGAGGGGATTGCGTGGGGTACGGGCAGGTGCGGGGCCGTGGCTGGGGAGAATGAAGCCGCCACCAGAGACCTCCTCGGTCATCCACACGACGGTGCGGGCGAGAGAGGCAGGTCAGAGAGGAAAGCACTGGCCCCACCCAGCTCTACAGGATGGCTGGACCCAGCAGGTCCTCCGTCAGGGGGCTGGAGGGAGGAGGCTGTGGGCCCCGAGGGAGAAGAGACCCTCTCATAGTCCGGCCCTGGGTGGGCTCACAGAACACATGCTGAGCGTTCATGGGCCTTGTTCCTTGCGCTGAGTACATGTCCCATGTTACATGCCCTGACCAGCTCTGTCCTCAGCTGTGTCCGCACATGACGTCTGTCCTGTGTACCAGATCGCACTTGGACATTTCTCGGGGCTGTGCATAAGCCTGTTGAACCCGGCTGGCCTAACTCAGTTTGCCACACGTGTACCTGCGTGTGTTTTGCACATGGCTCCAGAGGCCGAGCTGCAGTTGTCCGGACATGCCACATGCCACATGCATGCCAGCAGGGTGAGTCCCAGCTGTTTTTAACCCTCTCTTCCCCCACTCTCGCTGATCCCCAGCCAGGGGAGAGTTTGACCCTTTAAGAAGTTAAGTTGGCTAAACTGTGAGGGTTGTCGGCCCCATCTGAGGGGGCACGTGAGGCAACGTTGCTCCCCATATTGCATTTAATAATTGGGAAACTGAGGTGTGGTGGCCTGGGCCCTACTTCCACAGGACGGGGAGCAAATCTGACCTCACCCCAGTCAAGATGGCAGCACTGCCAGAGGAGACCACATTTTCCAGAGGTGCTTCAACCAGGTGGTCTAAGGGCCCTGGGGGCTTAGCCCTTGAGGAGTGGCTGTCAGAAATGAGGACTCCAGAGATGACTCATACCCAGAGAGATGGGGTTTAGCAACACATTTTGGGTAAAATTACACACTTGCACATGCACACACACACACACCTATAAACACTGAGCTCTGTTCACATGCTCATGGGATCCCATTCACATGAGAGCCTGGCCATGGGCTCAAATATATATGTAACCCATACAAGAGATCTTCCATGGCTCTTTGCCCAGGGAGAAGCGCCCCCACTCCCCGGGCCGCCATGGGCTGGGAGGCCCCATGGTGAATCAGGGGGCCATAACCTACCCACAGCCCCACTGCCAGTCTGTGGCTCAAGACACAACCCTAGACTCCTGAGGCCGGAGCGCAGACTGTGGAAATGGGGACACACCCTCTACCGTGCTGCCCTTTCTCCTCCCCGTCACATGATGTGCTTCTCAGCTTCTCAGCTGGGGCTGCACAGGGACTGGCAAGGGGCTCCTCAACCCTGGAAGAAAGTAAGTGCCCACAGCACCCCGTCCTCACCGAGGCCCATCCTGGCCTGGCCTGGAAACCAGAGTGCAGGAGAAAGACAGCGGCAGCTTTGCCAGCAGCAGGCACACGCAAGGCCCCTAGACACCCGTGTTTGCACGCAGCTTCGAGGTGTTCACATGTGCTGCACCAGATACTCCCACCAAACTCATTCCTATCTATAACTTGTGTGCACACACTGTTCATACATGTACGTACACGTGCACACTGGGATGGGTTTGGGTCAGAGCTGAGGAGATACGGTATGGGTAGGGCTTGGTGCTTCTGAGTGGGCCTGGAAGAGGGAGAAGAATGCAATGCCTTCCAACGGCCCCTTATTCCTGCCAGCCCTCATGTGGGATTAAGAGGGGTCAGGGCCTGGGGATTTTGTCCAGAAGTGCCAGGCTGTCCTGAGTTTGGGGGCTGAAGCAGGACCTCACTGTACAACTCTTCTCATTGTAGTTCAATGTCAATGGCGCCCTCTGGGGCAAAAGATAGGAAGAAGCATGGCTTCACAGAGAAGTGATGGAAGCTTGGTAGGGCCCGGCTCTGAGTCACATAGCTTACCTATAGCCCTCTGGGCTCCCTCCTGTGCTTTGGGAAGGAAAACCAGTGCCAAGTGCAGGCTAGAAGCCAGCCCACCTGGGAGGTCCGGGAGGATGCAGATGAGGAGGCACCACCTCCTCCCAGGGCATCTTGAGCAAGGTCTATGTCTCACCTGGGCAGGCGGGCTGAGCCCAGGAAGGGGCCTTGACAGCCTATCCACCCCGTGGGAGGCTGTGACTCCTTGGGGTCAGAGCTGGGGGAGTGAGTTCCCAGGCAAGGGAAGGGCTAAAGATGCAGGTCCCAGCCTGCTGGACCAGAGGGGCTGGCTGGGGCCCTGTAAGGGGGCAGAGAGGTGGTGGCACCTCTCTGCCCCCTTCATTGCCTGACCCCCAGACTCTTTTTTTTGCTTCAATAGGAGCAGCCTGAACCATCAGGAGATACATGGTTCTTGCTGTCAGCAAGTGGCGTAGAGAAGAGTGTAGACATAAGAGAACAAATCATGCTACAGTCCCCCCGGCCTCTTCAAACCCCCTAATCTCCTCCAGAGCATTGGAGCGGGATGGAGGGAGTGGCAGACCAAAGCAGACATACAGACATTTTTAAGTTTAGAAAGCACTTCCTCCCATTTGCAAAACAACCCCCAAAAGTGACTGTATCCCCCCCCCTTTCATAGATGACAAAACTGAGGTTTGGAAAGAAGTCACCTGCTAAGGTCTCAGCCACTAAGTGTTGAGTTGGGAGGCTCAAACCCCATGGGGATGAGGAGGAGAGGTAGAGAAGGGCAGAGAGGCCAGGGAGCCTCAGGTCCGAGGCACAGGAGGAGCAGGGAGCCAGGGCACAGGAACCCACTAAGTCTCTCCACACTTGAGCTCCCTTTCTAGAATGTGTCTCACTCTTAGGCCACTGCTGGACATTGTTCCTGCTCCTAGGCCTCAAGAGTTGGGGGCTGGCTCTGGACTTGAACTGGGAGTGGAGAGCAGAGATTAATCATCCTATTATGAGCATCCCCAGACTGGGGGGCGGGCGAGCCTTTCCTCCTACTGCACCAACAGTCACCCTCTGTCTCCAGACAAGATGGCAGAGAGCCCATAAACACAAACTACCCCCTTGGCACCTCCAGCCAGATGTCCAGCTGGACCCTGAGAAAAATCTACCTTTAGACCCATATCCTGGGGATTCTGGGTTCACCTTCTGGGTGCTGTACCCTTTGGGTACAGCAGAGAGTCCTAGAGGAGGCAGAGGGATGAGGCAGTGGCCTAGACTCCTTGCTCAGGAAGGGCCCAGAGTCACAAAGTCTAGGCTGATGGGGCAGAGGCTCTCACAGACCCAGAATCTCAGCTCCAAGTCTGGCTTGGCCACTGACCAGTCAGGTGACCTACACAGCTCTCTTCTCCCAGCCCTCAGTGTCAGTTTCTTCATCAGTCACCTGGAAGTTTCAGATGAAGTCCTCCCATCCCCCAAACCAGAGCCACTGTAAGAACCAAACAAGACTGTGGGTGCTTCAGGCTTTAAAAACTGTATTACGTAATCAACATAGAAAGAAAGGCTCATTCTAGAAGCTGACTCCTTAATCAGAGCCACATGTCCTCCTATGTGAATATGCATACGCATCCATGTGTGTTCTTGGCTGTGTGTGTGTGTGTATCCATGGAGGTCTGCATGGACACGTGGACAACCGTGGGGTCCATGCATGCATGTGGGTATCCATCAGGGCCTATGTGTGCATATCTGTGTGTGTCCCTGCCTGGGCCTGGCTGTGGGTCTGGGTCCAGTGTTTACAAAAGCCAGAGATAGAGGATGAGGATCTGCTGAGGAGTCTGGAGACTACCTGGCCGGCCGTTTGGGCCTGCTCCATGCCAGCCTAGGGGGAGGGGAGTTAGTGACATGGAGCTGACACAGACCAGGCTATCCCTGCAAACAGGCCTAGGGTGTCTAGAAGGCTCAGGTTCACACCTCAGGGATCAGATCCTTGTAGCCCCTGGGTTTTCTCTTTTCCTATCTCCTTCTTCACTAGCAGGAAAGCTTCTGGAACCAGGATGGTTGCCTCAGAGGTTGAGGGGTCAGGACAAGAGGTTGAGGAGAAAGAAAAACTCACAGGCTTCTGGGGGCAGGGGGGTGGCCTGAATTAGGGCCTGGCACTTGCCTGGCCCCTATAGCCACAAAAGGAGCGTGGAGCTCTTGGGGGGCTGAGGCAACCAGAGGGCTTCCTGGAGGAGGAAACATTTGGCTGGGGATTTTAGGGAGGGTCTTCCAGGTGAGAGCCTGCCAGGGGTTTAGAAAGCCAGGGAGGGACACTGGTGGCACAGGAAGGGCCTTGGGTTCTGTACTAAGGGCCTGGACCTTATTGAGGATCCAGAGATATTGAAGCCGTGCTTCTTTAAACCCCAGAGCTCTGAGGAAGCTCTCGCAACGACTGCTGCAGCTGGAAATGGGGAGAGGGACGCCAAGGAGGCAGAGCCCTGGCCCCGCCTCCTGCTTCAACCACAGTATTTTAACCATGTTATATCAGGGTTCTAAACAGGACAATAATTGACAAATGTTCCACTGCTAAGAACAGAAGCTAATGGGAGACCTGAGGGTTTTAAGCAGGGAAGTGGTATGGTCTCCATTTGTCAATTAATGGAAGGCATTGGAAGGATCCTTCCAGCTGCGAAGTGGAGGATGTGTTGGAGGGGAGAGGCTGAGGCCAGGAGGCCTGGAAGGAAGCCACGGAGGAGGGAAAGAGGCCAGATGCAGGGCGGTACCTATAGGGAGCGAGGAGGGTTTGAATTGGGGATTTAGGGGCGAGAGTGAACAGGGCAAGTCGGCAAGAAGCTA